TTTTATTCGGATTAGGAGTTTTGATCTAATCAAATCAAATTTTTATTTTATAAAATTTAGTTCGAGTTTGGATTTATTTATTTTAATAAGATTTAAGATAAAAACTTGACATGTGATTATTTTTAATTATCCCTCTTATATTTAAAAATAATTACAATAATTAATTTTTATGTTATTTTTTCTAATTAAGTTCTTATTTTATCTAATTAATATATATATAGTATATGTTGATTTAGGTTTCAAGTCGGGTGTGAGTGCAAGTGAAGGAGTTTAATTTTTGGGTCAGGTTCGAGTAGGTCAAAAATCCAGCCTAACCCGACTCAATCCATACTCATCCTTACAAGCAGTGACGGATGTAAAATTTTATGTTAGGGGGCAAATTCCAAGAAAGCCTAAAGGGTGATTATGCTTCAACAACATGAAGGTACTTTACTCACAATTTTAGACTATTCATCTCTTCCCTACTGTTGTTCTTTATGGTTAGAATCATAATACTTGTATGAATTGGATTTGTCTGCTACAAGGACAGCTTAATCAACTTGTCTCTCTGTACTGCTGTCATTTGAAGTGGATGGTTTCTAATACCGCATGGAATTCATTTTTTGCTGCAGAATTATCTTGTTTTTCATTCCATTAGTTGGAATCTTTATTCCATTATGTAAACTTGTTCTTGTTGCCGGGGACGGAGCCATGTAGGCCCTTGGGGGCCACTGCCCCTCCCCCTAAATTTTTTTTACCATTAGAAAATATAGGAATAATTACCTATTTAGGCCTTTAAATTTTGATTTATTTTGATTTTCCCCATTCCCCATTTTCCAAAACAGACTGGGTAACTTTGTTTCAAGTCATATAGATATTTTTTAGATGACATATTTTTCCATACACCTCATGAGCAATAAAATCGAGTGGTTATATACATTTCCTCCCATATACCACCATGAAGAAAAAATTTCATTATGTCTAACTGATAAAAAAGACAATCAAAAGTTATCGTAAGAGAGATAAATCATCTGAAAGAAGCAAGTTTAGCAATTAAAGAGAAAGTATTATGAGAATCAACTTCTTCAGTCTGAGCAAAATTTTAAAGACAAGTCTAGTTTTCAATCGAGCAAGAGAGCCCTCAGGATTGAATTTGATAATACAACCAATAGCTTATTAATTTACCAGTTGATCAAGTAACAAAAGATTAGGCTCCATTGACATCTAGACAATCATTTCCTCAAGTATAATTGTATGCCTTCCAAGATAAGCTAATGTCTAACGAAGTGTCAAGGATATAAATTTTATCTAGAGATGGAAGGAAATCACAACAAGAAGAAGACGTGCGATTATACAAAATAATAGAAAAATGGGGTATATATGTACAAGAAGAAGGTAAAATTCATTTGTGGTAATCATATCTGAGGAAAATATAAGACTCATCAGGATATGTTCTAGGCTCTCAAAAATGGAGTTAAAATTAGACGGATGTGGACGATGCGAGTAGGTAGATTATATGCTGTAGAACGTGGTGGCTTAAGAGAAGAATACATTGACAAACCAAAACTTAAGATGACATGGTAGACTAAGAAATCCTCTTCCTCCTCCTTAGTCACAAGACATTAAGAAGAAAATGATGTTTGTTCTAAAAAAGGTAATATCAATATACACAAAGTACTTATCAAAGCTTGAACAGTAATAATGATACTATTTTTTTATACAAGAATATCCTTAAAAGATACAGTTCAAGGACCTAGGATCAAGTTCTGTAACTTGAGGACTAATATCCTGAAGAAATAAGTACAACCAAATATCTCAAGTACAATTAAAACAAACTTTTATTTAGAAAGAAAATATGCAAAGGGGTATTATTGAAAAAATATAGGAAGGCATAAGATTAATGAGAAAACAAGTAGTTAAGACAACATTAATCCAGAAACACATAGGAATCTGCATTGGAAATAGAACAAAATTGTCTCAGAATGTCTATTTTTCTCTCAGTAATTTTGTTTTGAGAAGGGATGTCAACAAAATGGATAATATCATGCTAGGAATGTATATTGTTATAATATCCAAATAATTAACGATAAATCAAACGATAAAAAAACAAAAACACCAAGATTTACATGAAAATCCAAAAGGGAAAAATCACGGGTAAAAGAGAAAATTTTCACTACGTTAAAAAAGTACAAGATTTATTACAACGGTTACAACTCCCATTAACACACACCTAAAACCTTAAACCATATTTTCTCTTTATAGGGATAGAAAACAAAAGGAAACTTACATAGGAAGAATCTCACTATAATTGGATTTTCTTTCTTGATCTAGACGACAGAAAAATTAAAGTTCCAAACGGACTCTAACTTTATGACTTGACCCAAGAAAAAATTGGTTCACAACTCTAATAATTTCCACCTTGACACAATTTCTCATCGAACAAATTCTCCACCTCTTCCACAACACTTTTTCAAAGGGTAAACTTCAACAGTAAACATTGACTAAGTCCAAGAAATGCTCAAAGTTGATTGTAGGTAGCAGTTTGGTCATCATATCTATAGAATTATCATGAGTATTGACTTTGTTCATGTCATTGTTAACTCGAGTAATTACATCACACACAAAGTGATAACTAATATTTATATGTTTTGTTTGTTCATGAAACATTTCATATTTTGGCAAGAATATAACACTCGAATTGTCACAAATATTGTATTGATATGAAGGTCTTCACTAAGTTCACCAAAGAGACCCTTCAATCAAATCGCTTCCTTAAAAGCTTCTGTGATCGCCATGTATTCCACTTTAGTAGTTGAAATGGTAATCGTACTCTACATAGTAGCTTTTCAACTAACGAAACATCCTTCAACTACGAAGATATACTCCGTAAGTGATATCCTCTTATCAAGATCTCTCGTAATATCAAAATCTACGTACCCTATGACCCTGTCTCTAGTTATCCCGAATTTCAAGCAAACAACATTAATATTGCGAAGATACCTGAAAATTTGTTGGACAACTTTCCAATGTTCTTTACCGAGATTCAACATATATCCACTCACTAAACTAATTGTGAACGTTAAATCTAGACGCGTATAAATCATATCATATATTAAATATCTTACTGCACTAGAATACAGAACACGTCATGTACTCTACTTCATGTTCTAAAGAGCTCACAAGCTTCACACTCTACCTATCATAACTACCAAAAACCTTTTTAATGTATCCTTTTTGACTTAGGTACAATTTAATTGTTTTTCCATCTCTTTTAATCTTTATTTCGAGTATTTTATTCGTAGGACTCAAATCTTTCGTCTCAAACTCATTATTACACTAATTCTTTATCTATATAATATTTTTTTTATTGTCCGTAGCTATCAACATATCATCAACACAAAGAAACAGATATACTGGCAAACTATCGGGACCCTTTTTGAAGTAAACACAACTATTAAAATTACTTAACTTAAAGTTAAGATAAACCATAAAAGAATTAAACCTCTTATACCTTTGTCTAAACGACTACTTAAGTCTATAAAGAGATTTTTTTTCAACGATCAGACATGACCTCCTTTCCTTAGATCATGAAACCCTCTGATTGTTGCGTGTAAATATCTTCTTCTAGTTTACCATGTAAGAACAGATATAAAGAGGTTTTGAACTTTATTTGGATACGTTCTGAATCCTATCATTGGAAACGAATGCAAATGGTGCACATGTAGGCATGGTACAAACTTCTTCGACTTTACTTTATTATGAATCATTTGATAATATCATATATTTTCATATAATTTTAATTTAGTTTATTTACCCAAAAAAATTAAAATTAAAATTTCATACTTGTAAAATTCAAAGTCTATTTATCACATTACATGATAAACATTTTACAGTTTTGAAATTAATAGTTGTAATACAAGTGAATATTTTTTTTCTCGGCAATATAATTTTTATTCGAAATATGAAACCTAAGATAAAAATTTTATTAAAATTCTCTTTAAACTTAAACGGAGGAAAAGAGTACCCTAACTAGGTGAAAATACTACAACACTAGAAAAGATCACAGCAAGAAAACAACATAGGAATACACCCTTATATCGCTCTCCTAAAACACCACAAGCCATTGACATGGGATGATAACAACACTGCACTATACAACCCCGCCATAAGACAGACTATCACAGCGTTGATACGATGAAACGACCCTTCTAATAACCAGATAAGGAACCAAAACCACAGTCCATAAAAATGGAACTATCACAATCTGCAGCAAATCCGACTGCCTGAGCTCAAACATACCATGCCTCTTCCTTCGATCTGCATGCATCCTCTCCTTTACCCATCTCTAGACCCCAACCAATACTGATCGATGATGCTCCTACAGAATCATCAAACCAAGGGGCCCGATACGGCTAAAAACTGCTCCGATTCAATACAACTACCACGTCAAAGATCAACAAATCTGCCCAAAAATCTTGAATTAAACTGCTCCGATTCAAAACATGGCCCAGCTGCAAATGCAAACACCCCCCAACATGCGGCTAAAAATCCATATTAAAACAGCTCCATTACTCTCACCAGCTACACTCCCATACAACGTTCCACCAGCACTTTCCAAATCCACCAACTACCCAATTCAAACTTGATGGTTGGACATTAGATTTCACCTCCAGTCACACATAATGCATCAGTTAAAGCAACTCATAGACAATTACGAGCAACGTGGAGGACCACTTCCTTGGATCAGCAATTCCCAACAACAGGGTTCCTTGACACTTACCTTAACGACCCACTGCTTATTACTTAGAGTCCCATCCCCGGACAAAACTGCATGGATTCACCGGACACTACTCTTCTTTATTTATCAAATCTATAACCAATCTGCAAATACACCTCCAGAGAAAATTGAATTTTTTCCACAATCAATCACCACACAACCAGCACGAACAGCCTCGTTATCCTTTTCATAACGCTTGAAATACAAGTGAATATAACGTTCATATTTGTTTTTCCCCCTTCAAATTCTTGGATCGGTTTTATGCTTATTTAGTGTTCAATTTCCTCATCAGTAAGTTTCAGCAAGAACAACTTAGAAGTTGTTCCAAGTAATCAGTTCCTAAATCTTCCAACACGACCAAGTTCTTTTGTTCTCGTACCTTGTTTCGTTCGCTGCTGGTCCTCGTGTTCTTAGATTTTGTCCTCGAGCTGAGCCTCTTCTTCAGCGCCTCTATCGGCGAGCAACCGTCGTCGCATCGGTATCTGATGTCACGGAGCGATTCCGTGACGACGTCAATCGGGAAATTGAGGGTCGCCGACGAGCCTCTCGTCGAAAGCGCGGCCTGATCGTAAGCTAAAGCGGCTTTTTCGGCGGTGTCGAATGTTCCAAGCCAAACCCTAAGACCATGTCTAGTTGAATCCCTAATCTCAGCCGCGTATTTTCCCCATGGCCGCTTCCTTACACCTATATAACATTTTCCCTTCTTGGGTAATTCTTCATGTTTAGCAACACCCGATCCAACATTATATTCCCTTGCGCCGTTAATGGAGATTTTCGACTGATCTGAGGCCGCCGCCGCCATATTCACAGAAACCATTTCTTCATAGTCATTGAAGTTGCGAAGAAACTCCTCCCAGGAACCGGAATATGTCTCCGGAGGCGCCGATCCAAACGATGATTCAGGCGAGATGCCGGAAACAGTTGACTTTGAATAATGTTGAAAGAGACAAGACTTGTCCATTGAGGTGGTTCTGTTGTAAATTTTGGAACAGATATTGATAATATAACCTATGATTCGATCCAACAAGGCTTGCTCTTTGAAGTACCAAACTCTTTATAATAATACAAGAACTAATGATCAAAATGTCTAAAAAAACCGTAGATGAAATATTCAATTAACTGGAGATCCAGAGATGACGTACGGCGGCGGGGGTTAAAAATAGAATTACACAGTAATTTTTATGTACATTCAGCGAGGATTAGGGTTTTGCCTCCTTGTTCTTAGCCTTCCTGGTTTTGGATTTTGGTCGATTTCATAGTTTTCTGTTGGATTGTATCCTTGTTCTTTTTCTATGATATACTACTCCAAATTTTATTAAATTTTACTGTTTATATTAATTTTAATATAATTCTAAAATGTTTTAATTTTAAGATTAAATTCTTTCTTAAAATAATTTGGGGCGATTACAATATAGTATTTATTCAAAACTTTCTTAACTCATTAATAATACACACACATTAACCAAGAACCAATCACCTCTAGAAATAACAACATTGATGGATCGAGGGGTAGAGGCAGTCGCGCCTCCTAAAAATTTAAAATTATAATATATTTTAGATTTTTTTTTATATTTTTATTGAAAATATATTTTTGTCCCCTGAAATTTTATAAGTTAAAATTATCTCCTCTAGAATTTTAAAAGTTCAAGTTCACCCTTAAAATAAAATTTTAATTTCGTCTGGAGAGAAGAACATTCTCTTTTATCTATGAGACTACTTAATATGTTCAATTTTAATATTAAACTTTGATTTTTAGCTTTAATGTAAATATTGACACGCTAATCTATTAACTTAGTTTGGTGTTGAAAATATGTTGATATGAAAATTAAAAAAATATTTTTTTTATTTCACATCATCGTTGATATCAATGTTAAGAGTTTTTCAATTATTTTTATCTATCCCGGAAACAATTATTCTTTGATATCCTTTGTTATCATCTTATACACTAATAAAATTGTCTCATCGTCCTTTATTATTTTGTCAATCAAATTTTTTAAAAAACTCTTAAAACTCACAAAATTAAATATAAAATATTATTTTCTTAGGGTTTAGATACCTTCTCAAATTTGATCATATTCTATGAGAATAATACATACTTCGTGGTCAACCATTTGTTGCTTTAAAATTTAATAATCGTAATTTTTTGATAAAATTTAATGACTATTATGATAGTTTGAGTATTTAATAATTATTTAATAAAAGTTTATAATTACATTTATCAAGTAGTTTTAGTGTCTAAAGGAAACATTTTTTTTAAAAAAATCTTAGATTCAATTAGTCACATTTTTGTGTGTGTGTGCGTGTTATCAATGACTAAAGAAATTCTGAAGGGATGCTACTTTTTAATCGTGTCAAAAAAATTAAATAATTTATAAATTTTAAAAGTTTAAAGACTAAAACAATCTTTTTAATATAATTTAATGATCTCTGCTGTATTTTACCTGAAAATATTCAACTATTACAAGTAGAGAGAAGGATTACATGGACAAGGTTTGAATCCCAATCATATGTAACATCAATAAAAGATTCTAATTATTGTTTTATATTGCACAAGTATGAATTGCATTAAAATTTAATGAATATAATTAACTAAATTAAGTTTTAAATAGCGTCATAATTTTTGGATTTTGGAATCAAAATTTATATGTAATTTTAAAATTTATTCATTATAACATTCCTATTGTTTTTCAGATTCTTGGAATTTCAACATGAACAACTTAGAAGTTGTTCCAAGTAATCAGTTCCTAGATCTTCCAACACAACCAAGTTCTGTCGTTGTCTTGTCTCCCATGAAACCTCGTTCATTTTGCCGACGATCTTCTTCTTGTTCTTGGATCTTGTCCTCAAGCTGTGTCTCTTCTTCAGCTCCACCAACGGCGAGCAACCGTCGACGCATCGGCACTTGACGTCCCAAAGAGATTCCCTGACGACGTGTATCGGGAAATTGAGCGGCGCCGATGAACCTCTCGTCGAAAGCGCGGCCTGGTCGTAAGCTAAAGCGGATGCTTCAGCACTGTCGAATGTTCAGAGCCAAACCCTAACTCCGTTTCTCGTCGAATCTCTGATCTCGGCGGCGTATTTCCCCATGGACGCTTCCTTACACCTATCCAACCTTTCTTTTTCTTCGATGATTCTCCGTGTTTAGCAGTATCCGATGTGGGATTATCCTTCTTTACGCCGTTGATGGAGTTCTTGGACTGATCTGAGGCCGCCGTCATATCCACCCAAACCATTTCTTCAGAGTCATTGAAGTTGAGAAGAAGTTCATCCCAGCCACCGGAAAAAGTCTCCGGCGAATGCGACTGCAAAGGCCGTCCAAACGATGTGTTTGAATAATATTGAAGGAAACAAGACTCCTTCGTTGAGTTTGTCATGTCTGTAAATGTTTGAGCTTTGAAGAACCAATCGCTTTATATATACCAAAATCCCCAATAAAAGAACAAATATTTAAATTTATGGTGAGAAGGATTTCTTTAAACACACACACACACAAAATTAATAACCAGAAATGACGTACGGCGGTGTGGTTAAAAACAAAAGGTAAAAAAAATACATAATTTCTTATGCATATGTATCAATGTAATTTTAAGGTTTCCTAAATATTACCTTAAAAAAATAAATTTTAAAATAACATGTATTGCAGATTAATTTAAAATTGACATTTTCTTAATTTGACATGTAATCAAATTCTTATGATATTAGGTTGAGAATATGACTTATAAAAGTATATTTAAATACATGTTTTATATTTTATGCGACATAAAGTAAATATCGATTTTAAAAATAATTTTAAATGAATATTATTCTCAAAAGTAATTTTTAAGGTGACATTTTAATAAAAATCATAATTTTAGTAATATTTGGATTAGAATTAGTAAAATTTTCTTATTTATTAAATTTGATTTTTTTATTAAACTAAGATGATTTATAAAGTAGTATATGTTCTAAATACTCTCAACCATTTGACAATGCCTGCTCGATCACCCTGCTGCAGTTGCTAGTGCTCGAATCCGTGACCTCTATAACTACTGAGATAAGTTAGTTCATACTAAATTTGATTAATTTTAAATGATTTTTTTTAATAATAAAGTCATAATGCAATTGTATTTTTTATGTTTATTGATATATTATCGTTTTATGTTTATTTATTTCATACATAAATTGTTATATTTATTTTATATGAAACATTATATGAGTAGTTTACTTTTTATAAATGTATATAATTAAATTAAAATTATATATATATATGATCGTATCAAATTAAAACTCACTTGTCGTGCTGCACATAGATAAAAATTTATATATATAATAAATTTTTTTATTAAATAAAAGTGATTATAAAATAGTATATGTTCTAAATATTTTTAATCATTTGATAATGAATGTTCAATTATTCTTGTTGCGGTCATTAACGTTTGAACCCGAAACTTATGAGAATTGTAGATACTAAATTTTTATCCCGGTTTTATTATTATTATTATATTATTTATTATATATTTTTATTATTAATATTATTATTACAACCAGGCCCAGATTACAAAACCCAAAATGGAGGCCCAATTACAAACGGTGGCCCAAATCCAGAAGCCAATGGAAACCCTAAACCAGATTAGGGTTTCCCTCTTCTCCCAGCCGCCTCAGCTTGCCACTGTTGGATCTGGCAAGATCCAACGGTCCAGATGGCGCCAGACGAAACCCTAGGGTTATGATACCCTAGGGACTATACCAGCTGCCGCCGCTCCACGTTGCTCCAGCCACTGCCACGCCCCAACCGAAGGCTCCAGAAGCTCCAATGCCAGCCGTCCACGTTATGGCTAAGGGGTGAGTCACCACTGGGAGTCCGGTGACTCACCGAAGGGTATTCTTTTACCCGGTCCGATGGCCACACCGGTGATGGCTATAAAGCCATCACCCCATCTGCGGGAAAAAAAAGGAGGGAGAACGGAGAGAGACTAGCAAAAACAGAGAACAAAAACGAAGAACAATAACCCACAATCCGCAGTAAACCAAAACAGAAACGAAAAGAAAGGAAAGAAGCTTACCGAGGAAGCCACCGGACCTCTTCAAACTTCACCAAAACCTTCGAAAACCGAAGGTATTTTTTTAGATTTGCTCCGATCGGGAACTATTTAGGAGAAAAGAGCACCGGAACCGTTTCTGGCTTCCCTCCAGTGAGGGTCACGGCGGCAGACGGTTGTCGTCCGGTGACCGGCTTCCCTCCAGTGAGGGAAGCTAGAGAGAAGGGAGAGATTTTTCATTCTCTCTCAGTTAGAGAGAGAATGAAAAATGGAGAATGAGAGAGCTGGCCCGAAGGGCCAGCCGTTTCTGGCTTTAAATAGCCCTTCCCGAACGACGTCGTTTCGGGGAGGGCTATTTGTGTAATTATTAATAGTTAAATCCTTTATGCAGTCATCCTAGTTTATAAACTTTACATTTTAGTCACTAAATCGAGTTTATAATCCTTTTAATTCAGATATTTATTTTTAATTTTATTTATTTTAGTCCTTTTTATTAAAATAATGTATATAGGGTAAATAACAGATTTAATCCCTTAATTTTAATAAGTAATATTTTAATCCTGAGTTTATATTTTTAATTTATTTTAATCTGATATTTCGAATTTTAGATAAGTTTATTTTAGTCACTAAATTAATAAATAAGAAAATAGCATGTTTAATCTCTATAATTTTGATTAGAGAAAATCGCCTCAGTGACCAAAAATGTCTTATAATATACGATTTTAACCAACTTTTTTTGGATTTGCCAAAATGACCAACAAAATCGCAACGCGAAATAAAAATCGCAACGCGATCCCCAGAATCGCAAATCAGTTTCCAAAATCGCAACGCGATTCTTTAAAATCGCAATGCGATAGTACAAATTCGCATTGCGATTTTACAGAATCGCAACGCGAATATGAAAATCGCAACGCGAACACATAAATCGCAACGCGTATCCGTA